TAGATAGATAGATAGATAGATAGATAGATAGATAGATAGATAGATGAGAGAGAGATAGAGAGAGAGAGATAAGACAGAGAAGGAAAAGTATGTATGAAGGAGGAGGAGGAGGAGCCAAATTTCTATTGCTGGGGCTTTGTTTTTTGATCAGGAGCTCTGGGAAATTTTCTTTTTTAACTAATTAGTTTGCTATCCCCTGTTGTGCTACCCTGAAACCTACCTTGCAATTTCTAAAGTTTTATTACTGACTAAAAAAGGACCCTATTCTGCTACTTCATTTTTAGGATGCCTGAAAATATTTTTAGGGATTATTTCTAAGTTTACTTTACTACTGGCTGGCATGGGCACCTGCAGGGTGAACCCAGGGGAAAGTGTTACGTTATATGTGTCATGATGCCACTATGTAAAAGATGCAAATGATATAATTAAATATTTTATGTCATTGTACAATGATGTCAAGACATATGTCCTCATTGTAGCTTCTACCAGACACTTAAGATGACTGGTGCTCCTTGTGTTCTGTAACACATCTTTCCATAGCTGCTTATGTGCCCCATTCTGAAAAAGTCCAGAGGCAAGAGTTCCTTCTTGATGTCTTCCCTTAAGATTTAATTGGCACTTAGGGATTCAAGGAAGCTGCACACCGTCTGGAAAATGATTGTACAACGAAAAATAGAGTATCTTTGGCTACTTTTTAAGTCTCACAGAACCATTCTTTTTTCAAAAGAAATGCAATTCTTTTCCATCAAATTAAATCAGCAGGAGCAAGAAAAGAATCAGGATAATTTTCTTGTGGGGCAGTACTTCCCACTTCACTTTTCTGTACCCACTGAGCACTTGAATTTGATATAAATATATATACTGCTTTAATGTAGACCAGGTAAAGATATGCTCTATCCACCATTTTGAAAACACTTTTGTTTTCTCTTGCACCCATGCTTCACTTTTCTTCGCTCTCTTCAATACCCTTTTCTTAGTCAATTCTCCGTTTCATGGAGATATACATTTAAAACATAGAACCATTATGATCTGCAGCTTTCTCTCTCCAGAGGCAATATGAATCATAAGCACATTTACCTAGCACTACCACAAAAGGTTCAGTCAATATCAGGACAGTTTTAGTTGGCAAGAGTTGTGCAAATGCTCAGGTTTCATCAGCCTCCGCTAGATTTACCCTGTTGACAAACAGAGCGTGCCAGTTTCTACTCCAATTTTCTTGTTTAACCTTCACAAGGACACAGCAAGCAGCATTATACATATATACACTCACAAATGCGTACCCACATGTGTACCTGCATATAAACACACACACACACTCACATAGCACATATGAGTGTAATTCAACTCACACAGAGCACATAAGAATGTAATTCACAGTGGGGAAAAGTAGAAAAAAATATT